ACAGTAAGGCGTGGTACGGTCACAATCTTTTCAAATCTGAATACCAAATCATTACACCTCGCATTGAACCAACGCAAATGGAGGCCGCTAGTGTTACACTAAGAGTTAGATTACTGATGCGGTCTTTGCCTTACATTCACTTGCCACAATTTTTCCACTTACCTCCTTTGAAGCCTACTTAAGTGAACGAATCTTGTTCTCCAACTTCCTCCACATCTCCAATATATGGGCGTATTTTGAGCTCACCTATGCGAAAGGCAATGATTCCGCTGGACGTGTCCGGCTAATAAGTCGTTGGCGAGCCTGTGAATGATTCATCATAGGGAACTCTGTACTCGTATTCGCGTGGAATATGGGGAGTACTGAATACTCGCGGTACATCCTGAAATGAGTCAGCCAAATTGTAATGATGGCAGTCCATACGCTGATTGCGTCAAAGATGAGCCTGTTGAAGTGGGGCAGTAGTAATAGAAATGACGGTTCTGCAAGCATATTTTCCTCTTCCCCATAATCCATATACAAGACCCTTGCTGCACAGCTTTGCTCAATTACGTTGTCGGTCCGCAAGCCTGTAAACTCGGAGCATATGTGTCTCAAAAACGAGAGTATTGCACCTGAAAGGACCTGTGAAGAAAGATCCCCTTGCCAGTTGTTGTTTGAGAGTAGATTTGTACGTAGGCCATTCTCTATCTGAAACGGACAGTGCTACCAGAATTAAGTAGACATTTACCTTCGTCAGCCTTTCAACTACACGACATCTTTGAGGCATGCTCAGGCTCAAACTGCTATATGCGCTTCGTAGGGACAGTTGACCAGCGAAGTGACCTCAAAGTGGAAAAGAAAACAAGTGGAACCAGCGAACAAGCTAGGATTAGGAGCCTTGTTCTCGAAAAAAAGCATGGTTGGATATGGTTCGACGTAGAGAAAGCGTTTAGAGAAGGCAAAACAAGCAATAGAGCACGCCTTATGAAAGGGCGATATTGAAAGGGTGATCTAGACATTAGTCGTGCTGGGTGGGAAGCGTTGCTGTAGTTGAGCTCCTAACTATTAGCGCCATAACCACTTACGTTCTGCGACGATGCTGGCAGGACCTCTTTGGTACATATACAACAAGTTTCTTCGCGGAGCGGTTCCTACGAGTGAGCCAAATCCCAGAAGTTGCTTTCAACTGCACTGATTCTGACTGCGAGAATCGGAATATCTCTTTGTTCTCGAGCAAGTTGAGCCTTTTACAAAAGGTCGTCAATGATATATACCAACAAGAGGCACCAAAATTGTCAAATTGTCAAAATTGCAATTGAGTCCAATTCCACTCCAACGGCGGTAAGGGCATGTTAACACATTGCAGCCCGCGTGCATCGCCGGGTATGCACGTCGAAACTCCCACATCTGACATTTGTGCATCGCCGGGTATGCACATCTGTATTTTGCTCCCCAATGAACCTTTTTTAGTACTTCTTTACTGTTGACTTCTGCTATTCTCATGAATTCGTAAAACATGTGGCATGGCGACAACTTCAATTTCAACAAATTCGGGTGCTTCGAAAGGGCAAAATCAGTGTCTAGAACTTCAAAAGTCAATACAGTCACATCTCAATATGCCTAACTACTTAAAAATCATCATCAGTCACGGAAATTGCTTGCAAATTCCGTTCCAGGCTTTGAGCTTTGAGCTCACCCCTCTCTTTCTGCAAACCCAAAACGGGCTCAGAATATTGATGACAATCAAAAAGGCTCGCAAAAATACGTACGAAATAAAGCTAAACATTTATTAAGCTAATAGTCACGAAATAGAAAACAAAACGAAAGAAAGATTCATGATTCATGTATAGGAAAAGGAATGTTCCCGCGCCCTCCCAACGAATCGGCTATGTGGGTCCCGCGACGAAAATCCACAAAATGTCCCACATATGAGATTTGTGCATCGCCCAGTATGCAATACGCCAATGTCACATGTGCGACATGCGCCGAAATCGGCGCGGGTGTCAATGTGTTAATATACTGCTCAGGCATACACATGCCTGGCGAAGGTGTTATATACCGAAATATAGCAGAAGATTTCAAAGGAGTTCTTTTTGAACTTTTCGTGTTTTTTTTTTTGGAATTTTGGAGTTTTTTGAATTTTGTGAACTTTTGGGACTCTTTTGAAATAAATTTTGGTGCCTCTTTGTGTTATAACATTTAGGTCCTGATGAGGCTCCGGGACAGGGTCAACCCTACTTGTTACGAGTAACAACGGGGGGTCGTACCTGGTTGAGTTTGTAGGAGGGGGGGTCGTACCCACTTTAGTCGCTCGAAATCACGTGTGGGATTGAGGAGAAACTAAGATTCGTGGGTAGTAGGTTGTGCGAGTAGAGGGCGCGCAAGATAAAAATTTGCCGTTTCAGCCGGTGTATATACCCCCCCTAGAAAAGGAAACAGTGAGATTATAGGGAGAAATTGGGCAAAATTTGGTTACTGTTTCAGAGGGACTATATACCCCCCCCCCCCCCGCTCGACGGCATTTTTGGAGGAAAAAGTGGGCGGAGTTTTGAGGGTTGAGTGGTAGTGGAAGTTAGTGTTATAGAGAGGAATATGGTGGATCGAGGTGTCGGAAGGGGGGTCGTACCAAATCCACCTTGGGGGAGGGGGGTCGTAAAAATTTTTCGAATAGTAACAACGATAGGGTTGACCCTGGCGCCGGGACCACGCCACATAACTCGATAGGTCGCCCCACTTGAAAACCACATCTAGCTCCTCTCCATCAAACTTCTCATGTGTTCTGCTAATTTTGACACGCAAGCGACATTAGGTGTGCCTTCCGCATACAGATCGGAAATCTAACAGTGCGATGCGCATTGGAGGGCGGTTAAACTTTGAATACTTAAAAACGAAGTGAAGCAAGCAATTCATAATACAACTCATCGTATTGCTAGATAGCTCAGTAGGCGTTTATAATACAACCAGATTGGTCCCCCGGCAACCACCGGGACCTCCTTACCTGCGTAAGCTTTACTCCTTCCAATGTGCTCCCATCCACTGGTGACATGGACACCTCGTGGAGGTGGCACGCATGCACAAAAAAGTGTCTTATATAGTAGAAGGCATTACCGTAATCGTGACATGACCTTAGAATGATATTAATTGGACCTCAGGTCTTTTGGCGGTTAGCTCCCCTCGCCCTTCTCCATCTTATCCTATTCCCTCTACTGCTCTCCAGCTGCTATTGCAGCATCATGTGGAATGAATGAGACCATGCTCAGTAGGTGTTTATATAGCCGTTGGGGTGTTATCACATTGATAGCACTGCAAAACATTGATTGCTAAAGTCATAGTTACTCGATTTTGTTAACGGTCTGTTTACTTCACGAGTTTCCCTACCACTTCATTTTGCGGACGGACACACATACATACATACATACATACATACATACATACATACATACATACATACATACATACATACATACATACATACATACATACATACATACATACATACATACATACACACATACAGACATACAAACCGACACACAAAGTTAGCGCTTTATAAAATAGAAGGATTTCGGCCAAAATCGACCCATGACTATATCAGCTCGTTGAGTAAGTACTCTTTGATTTCAGCAATCGCTTGATAAATTCAAAAATTAGGCAAAAGTAAGGTTTCCTCGCTCCCGGTAAACTCTCGTAGAGAGCTTAACTTCCTTCGTTAGGCTCCCAGAAACGAAGGAGGAGCTCCCCGCATGGCTAGAAAGTAAGAAACATTTGACGTAACTCTACGGTTGGTTTGATGTTGAAAACCGGAATCAGTTCTTATTGCTTCATGATATACACCCTCTTTCAGCCACAGGTATTCCTTTCTATTCCGTCCCTGCACATTTCTATCCCTCTCTAAATTCATTCTGCGAGCCTCCTTCGTCTATTTTTTGCAAGTGTACGTGCTTATGTGTAGTTGTAGCATGAGACATCGCAAGCGATAGACAATTGCCAAACTTTGCGAATCTGTGTATGACTAGCAAATCGCGGGGTGCGAGCGATGCATCAGCTATTCGAACAAGGTGTCAGCGGATCGTTCTACGCACCAGTTTTTCAAACAGTGTACCATCGAATCGGTACTTTTTGATAACGTGCTGCGGCGAGCTTCATCTCGGCTCGCAGACGCCGATGTCATTAGTTTTTGCGGAATAAGCGAATCGCTAGCGAATCGCTGGATCCGAGCGTTGCGCCAGCGAATCGAACGTTGCACCAGCTAATCGAACTTTGCGCCAGCGAGTCGAACGATGTACCAGCAAGTCGAACTAGGTACCAGCGACTCAATAGTGGCGGACCCAACGTTTAAAGGAAGCCCGCCACTTTCAAACAGTGTCACGTGACAGTGGACGCTGTTTTGAAAGGCGGGACTTTGCACGTGGACACTGTTTGAAAGTGGCGGGCTTCCTTTAAACGTTGGGTCCCGCCACTATTGAGTCGCTGGTACCTAGTTCGACTCGCTGGTACATCGTTCGACTCGCTGGCGCAAAGTTCGATTCGCTGGTGCAACGTTCGATTCGCTGGCGCAACGCTCGGATCGAGCGATTCGCAAACTATATGACATCGGGCCGCAACGCTCCCTCCCGCTACGTTCCCGGGCTCCTTGTGGACCTCTCTCTCTCATGCCCTGGCACATCGTTCAAACCGCTGGTGCTTGGTTCGTACTCTGCGATTCGCTAGCGAATACACGGATTCGCAAAGAATGACAGGTTATAGAGTGAAATAAAATTAGTTTGAATGAAAAAAATTTATGTGTTTCAATGTCAAACCCATCTATTTACAAACACAGACTGAAAGTACGAAAGGAATAGGCAAGTCACATGATATCAGAAACAATGTGAAATTGAACAAAAAGTAATAAATACAACCAAGAATCATGATTAGATCAACAACAAGGAAAGGACTCATAACCCAGAACGAGAGATTAGGTACTTCAATTTGTTAGTGAAATGACAGAAAAAGCTGGACGAAACTACGACGATGCCCAGCTAACTCGGTGAGTTGCCTGCTGCGTGCTCCATATCTCGGCGGCTCATTAATACCATACCTCGCCCTGCGTTTATCTCACGCTCGATATCAGCCACAGTAATGAAGCCGTCGCGGTCAGCGTCCAGACTCTACAAAAATACTCTTCCTACAAGCTGTTATCTTTGGTCACGCGCCACCACACGAACTTGGGCGCGTTTTGAAACCTTATTCTTTGCACATAACAAAACTTTGTGTGCAGTTAAAGTACCTTGATTGGGATTCCTTCGTGGAAACCGCTTCATAATAAGAAATGGTTTACGTCTGAGCTGTCTTTGATACATTAACGACAGTGTGAGTTTTGGTGTTTCATGGCCATGTGGGACCGACTCGATTTTACGACCGCATTTGTCGTGGTATACATATCCCCGTATGATTAAACTAGACACGTCTTTGGAAGCTTGCGAGTATAAATGGCTTGTGAGAGCGGTGAGACTGACCATGTCAATTTACACAGTGAAACTACAAAGTGGCTCCTTCGAAAGAGTTTCGACTATTAAGTGATACAAAATGGATGTAACTGAGGATCTTTTGAAGTTACACAAAACACATACATACATATACACTTTTTTTACTAACTAGTGGGAGCTTTTCGAAATCTGACAAATTTATCGTTCACAACCTTTTGGCCTAACGTTCCATTGTCATTCTCAATTTTTCAATTTTTGTTTCTTAAGCGTTCTTCTATAGAGTCTTGCACTCCCACTTCTTCCTGCTGCAGTTATACTAGCACTCTGCTGTTTTTGAATGTATGTACCGCTTCAAACAGTAGATCCAGCTTAGGATAAACACTACACTTGTTAGAATGGTCCATGTCCGGTCTTCTTGAAACCTGGGCATTCCGATTGTGTCTTGCTTCTGTTTTGCCTTCCAGGTTTGTTATGGTGGAAATCTTTATTGGTCGACGTTTCGAACAAACCTGGAAGGCAAAACAGAAGCAAGACACTACACTTGTTATTTGTTGCGTTTTTTTTAATAAAACTCGAAGTTTGAGCTGAATTGAAAAGTTCACAATGTTTGGGGAAGCCTTTGCTAAACTGAAGCATATCTAACAGTTGCGTGCCACAGCGTTTGTAGTTATATTAATATCTGATCTATGAAATGAAAGTAAAAGCCTTGGAAAGGCAAAGCATGCGCGAATAAATTACGAAATAGGTGTGGGGGACATGTACCCTACGGTCCGACATGGCCTGCAACGCGCGCGGGATATATGTTTCCCGCGGCTGGTATGAAAATTCAAGAGCGAAAGCCCTGAGTTCAGGCACATCGAGTGGGAAGTACGAAAGTTGAAAGTGGTAGCATGTACAGCGATCGAGCCACCTTCGCCGTTTAAAATCTGCATGATCAGTTGAAAACGTGCAACCATAGACTCCCGTGTAACCCTCCCCACCCAACACAGTCGCAGTGTTAGGATCAGCGATAAAGGAAGCTGCTACATGCAAAGTGACACGCACTGTCGAAGATAAGATAAAGACGGAAAGATTGCAGCTCGAGGCGGTCGAACAAAAAGTAAGATTTACGCCATTGCCAATCCAAGGTGTTCGAGTGCTGGCCTCGAAAAAAGTGAGGCCTTTCATGCGGCTCATATTCGACTGTTTCTTTTGCTCACTTTTTCCATCTCACATCGCCTCCCACTACTGATATCATTACCGAATGCTCTTGCACACCCATCGTATCTCAGGGCTTGCCATCGAATAGAGTACTGGAGGGAGAGTAATGAAAAAAACGTTGCGATGTGACCACAATTTAGTTAAAACATACCCGAAATCGCTCTTGGGCGAATTTTCGAATGATTGGCGCCAACGGACGAAGCTCGGCTGCAGCCGCCTGCAACAAAATATCGTGCACTTCACTACAGCATTTTCATTTAAATGTGTTCCAAGTGATAGTTTGACTACCACGGTGACGTTATAACATCCAGATCAGAATCGCTGAATCAGGGATATGACAAAGAAGCTAATTTGCTTCTGAATGCTTAACCAACCTTTCCGGGATGAACAACACATTCTATGTAATTGGAGTCATTGTAGTAGTGAAACTCGGATCCACTTTTCTATGTTCAGCTAACTGCATTAACTATTATAGTTGCTATGAGGGGCGGTATTTTATTCTCCTAGGACTTATAGATTGGCCTTGGAGGGAAGAAAGGCTTAACCGGCAGATTCCATTCGGACTGTAACTCTCAAACCGTATACAGAGTAAGTGGAAATTTTGCCGCTACACCAACACCGCTCTCCTGCGGCAAGCATATAACCCAACGTAGCAGCTTCGTTGGCTCTTCACCAGTGAAAGTTAAGAGTAAATGCCGACAGATTATGGTAACCGTGTGTAACGTGGGAAGAACCTCGGGGGGCGGTATGCGACAAACCCGGAAGGTCTCCGGGGATATATCCCAGACGACCTTCGAGACTTGTTACATAAAGTCGTCTGGGACATATCCGCGGTTAGGGGTCTATCCCCGAGGGTCGTATGCAACAAGGACCGAGGCATACGTCGGGGATATCGCAGCTTTACGACCGTTGCGTCGGAAGGAGGCGAACGTGCGCGACGGTGTTCGGCTTCGTCGCGCAAGCGGCGAGGCGAACGCTGCGACGGTGTTCGGCTTCGTCGCGCAAGGCGCGGCGACGAAACTGCGACGGTGTTCGGCTTCGTCGCGCAAGCGGCGAGGCGGACGCTGCGACGTCGCTCCATTTTGGATCGTGCCCTGGGGCGTATGCTATGCCTCCACGAAGAAGAACTGAATCGGGGAGAAAACTGTCAAAATTTCTCTGTCTCCTCCACTGGAATTGCCGTGATGAAGGGCTTACATTTAATGTATGTATGTAGGTTAAAGTAGACATGCACAAAAACTGAAGAAACTATATCGTTCAAAACAAATGAATTTAAAGGAAACTTTGGATCACCTAGCTTCGGGGAAGCATAGCATACGGCCCCTGTCGCAGGCGGCGGCGTTTTGCTTGACCGCTCTCACACTAGTGCTGGCATTGTGCACTGGAAAAGCCTGCAACCGCGCTCTGACGCAAACGTGGGTTACGGTATACATCCTACGTTCCTTAACTTATAATCTTGTTCAACTCTCAATTCAATCCCGGAATTTGCCCTCTTTTGAAAGCTTGACAGTTATAGTGAGGCTTAACCAGGAGATTTACTTACCAATAAATACTAAATAAAAAAGAAAGTCAAATGCATGAGACTAACCCGGTAGTTGAAGGTTTGCTGTTGGTAAACCAAGGGTAGCCGAATCGTCCGCGTCCTTCTTCGAGCCGCACAAATGAAAAACGCTGTTAACGTATTCGTGGAATGCCGCCTCATTAACTCGTCCCTAAAGAAGCGGTAGTAGTGACAGAAGTAGTGAAGGATCGTTCCATGAAACGAAGAAAATAGAACTATCCTGTGTTTTGCTTCATAAACCTGACGTTCAATGTTGGGGTTTCAGATGGATGCAGGAATTATTTTCAAGGCTTCCTCACTCCGCATACTTCGTGGTCATAAGCGAATGGACCCAAAGCCAATCGTCATGTTGGGCTCCTTCCAAAATTTTATGACCCTCCCCCCTACTCGTGTCCTGCTACGACCTCCGCCTTGTAGTAATCATGTGTTCAAATCCGTGTCATACTTCTATATAAGAATCAATGAACAATCATTCGCTTTGTCGCGGCCCTGACTCAGGAAGTGTACAAGCTCTAACCAGGAAGGTCTTTAGGGCGTGCCAAGCTTTTTGAAAACGGTCTTTTGCATGATATAGGGGCAGACACCATAGGGGCTGCTTGGTGTCACACCTCTTACACCAATTTTTAAGTCAAAGTCTTTTTGTAAGGGTTACTGACGGTCCTAATCATGAATATGGTACTAATTATTCATGCTAACTCCATTTTGCGCGAATTTTGGAACGTCAACTCGAAATGCAAAAATTTGTCACCACGAGGAATCGAACTAGGGACCCCTTTTCTGGTATTCAGAGGGCCGTTCAGGAAAAATTGAACCATGGTTCTGTGGTTCCCGCATGTGCCCCTATATCATGCAAAAGACCGTTTTCAAAAAGCTTGGCACGCCCTGAAAGACCTTCCTGGTAAGTCGTACGGCCCGGCAATTCATTTATTGAAAAAATCTCACGTCTGGATTTCCTTCGTGCTAACGCGACTTTTTAAGCTTCCAACGAGCGCAAATATCTTTTTGGCGGGGGGGGGGGGAACAAGTGATCATTTTTGGAACTCTCCTGCATAATAGAAAATGTTTTTTGTTTCGCGAAATTCGCCCGTCTTGATTTTTTTTGGGGATGGGTGCTGACGGATTTTCTGAAAACGCCGTTTGAGGTTCCAATAGAGATGACTCTCTTCTAAGCCCATCCTCTGGTGGCCATCGAACATGGGGAAATAGAGACTACAAGCTTCCTAATGAAATCTTAATCGACCGCTAATGTTCATTTTTCCTTAAAGGAGGAATTCACGATTAGAATGAAGGTCGAAGAAAGGGAAACTGACCTAGTTGAGGGACCCACGGACCTCCTGAGGGTGCGAACTGACGCGCAATTCGCATGGAAAAATTTGACCTCGGCGACCTATCATGCCTCAAAGCTGGCGGGTCGGCGATCTCCGCCCACCGATCATCTGATCACTCGCCGTAGTTATACGTGGCGAGTGATTAGATAGCTGAGAGAGCGTAGTGTTGAGAGGGCACAGCGATGAGAGTCGCATCAATGCTCAAATCAACGGGCAAGGAAGGGGTCCCATTTCTCGGGTTCTGGGCCGTTTCTCATGGTTCTTCCTTCTTTCGTGTACCACTCACCATCCCTAGGTTAATTTGAAATGGGTTGCTTTTCATCGTGAATTCGTCCTTTAAAATCCATCCTTTTAGATTTTTGGTTTCTGAGTACTTCCTTGAGCGACCAAATTTTCGAGGTTCCAGCGATCATAACTTTCTTCGAATGGTTGGTCAAGAAAAAAAGGTCCCTCTGGAACTAGAAACTTTGTTTTTTGAACAGGCTTGGAATGTGTTTTGCAGAATTTCTCGCTCAACAGCTTCGTTTTAATCAATCCCTTTTCTTTTGAGTCTCGGGAAGTAAATCCTTCCACACAGTGCACTCCTTCACCTGGACTTTACTTGAAACATTTGCTCATAGCCATCAAATTCGAAGCGTTAATTCAAATTTGAAGCGTTAACCACTAGGAACGCTTGCTCAGGCGCCTGTGGTTTCGAAGCAGCAAAAGCATTCCTATAGAAGGGGGGGGGGGGGCAATAAAAAAAAGACATTTTGTCTCCAGACTCAAATGGATTTAATCACACTTTGCTCAGCTCAAAGCGTGTGCTCCCAACTTAGAATTGAAGAGCGCATTTCATTTCATAAGAAAATCATAGTGGCCATCTACGTGGACGGCATCAGAAAAGTTTGCCCCGGAAACATGGTGCTCTGGTCGAGCTCAATGGGGTTCTCGACTGATCGTGTACCGTTACGACGGGTTCCGAAGGGCGGGTTCCGGGGGTTTGCATAGTTAGAGCTAATGTCCCTAGGAAACTATCCCACGTTGAATCGATCCAAGAAATTATGTAAGAGCTTCAGGCTGAAGCAGTTACTGTAGGCCTCCCTGAGCTCGACGACGGTGACAGATGACGTCATATTCTGAAGACGGTGAGGGTAGTGAAGGAGGGCCTGCGTGTACTTATAGAGGGACATTTAGGGAATATTTTGCTGAGGAACTTCCGTCAACGACGGCAATCTCTGCGAAGAAAAAAGGCCGAAGTGCGACCTGGGCAAAATGTCTTTTTTTGCCCCCCCCCTACATCGATCGGTCCCCTATCATCTCAATAGCTGTGCGGCTGATTTGGGATTTTCTGAAGCGACAAATTTCTAGAGAGGACAAACTTTACCAATCTCAAGTGTTAAAAATCAAAATAAGTTTACCTTGGCATCAGGGGCCATTAATCCGAATACAAACTCGGCTTTGACGGAGACGCCAGGATGTTGCGATTGACAGTAGTTGGATGATCGAGCACCTTCAGTCAACTCCCACAAACAAATAATGAGATCCTGAAGGAAATGAACAAAACGTTATAATATTTTCACAATGAGATAATTGAAGGCTTAAAATGACCAATCATTCAAAATTTATTCACCCTCTTTTGAGGCGCGCCGCGCACTTTACCTCCATTCGAACTCATAGTTGCTTTTCGAAGGTGGCTAGGCATGGCTAGCCTGGGCGGCTTAGGTCCCAGCATTCAACCCTTGAACAGTGCGAGTGAAGCGGTGCCGCTTTCACTATACTACCTCCGCACAACAGAATATGATTTATGTTGTCTAAAGTGTTCTGAGGCGCTGACCTCGAACTCGTTTTCAAGCTCAGGATTACTCTTTGAGCGGAATTGCATATGAAAAATCTCCACAGTTTTCCCAAAGTTAAGTGCAGCTTTCTTGACATGAACGGTCCCGTTACCGCTCCTCAAAAAGGACATCGGACAGAGCGCTAAAAACAATATAAGGGATTAATTACCTCAAAGGTAATATGTGGATGGCCGTTGATTTTCGAAATTGTTGCGTACAAGCGATCGGCGAATTGATAGTTAGCAGCATAGGGGAATAATAACCGGAACACCGATCTCCATTCGCTGAGCATCATACGGCCATTGGAGCTCTTCTGAATGACATATTATCGTCAGTCATCTCGTGACCAAGGAGAGCTTTGACTGGATACCTGTTTGAAATTCCTGTACATAAACATTAGCCATCGACGATCGAAGCCGGTGAGTTGTTGCAGGTGATCTAACGAGGGAGGTTGTGTGTTGAATGGATTCGACAACAGGTCCTCAATGTCGACCTCAGCTTCTGAATTCGATTAAAGATCAAACTCTTACTGTCGAAGTTATTGAATTATCAAAGGAAACTTAGTCACGAAGTAAACTGGAATGAGCTGATCACGTCCCACTCTGTATTCATATAATGTCAGACTGGCACCCCGGCAGCCACCGAGACCTCCCCTCACAGCGTAATCTTGACGCCTTCCGCTGCAAAGGATTTTCTCCACCTCCTCTCCGCCATTGTAGCACCATGTGAATAAGCAAGAGTATGCTAGTAGGTGTTTATATAGCCGCTGTTCTGTTATCACAACCATGCCATTGCAAAACAGTGATAGGGCAAGCCCTGCGAGCTACCCAGATTTGTTAGCGGCCTGTTTACTCCAGCCTTATCACTCACTTCATTTTGCGGACGGACAGACAGACGTGCATACATACACACAAACAAACCGACACACCAAACTTCTGGTTTATATAATAAAATGATTAACCCCGTATTTTATAAAGCGCTTACTTGGTGTGTCGGTTTGTATGTATGTCTGTCATGTCCGTCCGCAAAATGAAGTGAGTGATAAGGAATAATGGAATAAACAAGCCGCTAACAAATCTGGGTAGCTCGCAGGGCTTGAGCTATCAATGTTTTGTAATAGGATAATTGTGATAACACTCCTACGGCTATATAAACACCTGCTTAGCACACTTCCGGTCATTCCACATGGTGCTGCAGTGGCAGCTGGAGGGCAGTGGAGAGAGGGAGGATGGAGGTGGGAGGCGGAAAATCTACCGTCACGTTATGATAAACTTCACTATATGAAACTCCTTTTCTGTAGCATACGCGTCACCTACGCGAGGTGTTGGTGGAAGGGACCACAGCGAAAGACGTAAAGTTTACGCAGGGAAGGAAGGTCCCGGCGGTTGACGGGGGACTAATCTGGTAGGGTCATACTGAAGAAACCCAACACGCTTTCTAAGCAGGGTAATCCCTCTGTCAGTAAAGTAGACGTTCCGCGCTGGTAAGTTCTACTGATTAAGATTCACGCTTTATGAACACTTACTGTTTACAAGTCTTGCCACAATAAAGTCAATCGTGTTGATGTGTAGGATGATATGAATATGACAAAGCACTATGACACAAGTGGGATTATATGCTTAAAGGAGGATTGCACGGAAAGAACGAAGGTCGAAGAAGGGAGAAATCGCCTAGTGGGGAGAGCGGTGAATCTCTTGAGGGTGCGGACAGACGCGCAATTCGCATCGAAAAATTTGACCTCGGCGACCTATCATGCCTCAAAGTTGGCGGGTTCGGCGATCTCCGCCCACCGATCATCTGATCACTCGCCGTAGTTCAATACGTGGCGAGTGATTAGATAGCTGAGAGAGCGTAGTGTTGAAGAGGGCACAGCGATGAGAGTCGCATCAATGCTCAAATCAACGGACAAGGAAGGGGTCCCATTTCTCCGGTTCTGGGCCGTTTTTCGTGGTTTCGCTTTCTTTCTGGTACTACTCACCATCTCTACCTCAATTTGGAATGGGTTGCTTTTCCATCGTAAATTCGTCCTTTAAATCGCTTTGGACGGATTACGTTTTCAGACTCTGTTCGTCACTGCAGGGCCTTTTTATACGGACTCAGCTGACTTGCAAGGGTTCACAACTTATCTTCATCCCTATAGAAAGAGTGGTGGTAATCAGCTGGCTAGGTAAAGGTTTAGGTGACTTAGAGGGTGCGCCATCCAAGCTGGTGGCCCCATAGCGACGTCCCTTTTAGCGAAGCAATCAGCGCTAATATTCTGAACACTGCATATATTCAGTTACACCCCTAGTTAGAAACTGATCATCAGCATATCACTGCGGATTATAACATATACGTATGTATAACACGTTGGACTATTCGTACTACACAAACGTGGACTTCCGTTTTTGACTCAAACAAAACCCTCATACCATCATCATAAAAACACAACCAGTACTGACAGCCTCGTAGAGCCCAGTAGACACTGCGAAGAAACTTGTTGTCGTAGGTGCACGGTGCAGCCGAACTGCTAAAGTGACATTTTACCGTGGTTCTTAGACAAGGACGTGGTAAACAATCCAAAGCCAGCAGATCAGTTTGAAGAGTTGGTTTTCCGACCACTTGCCTATGAACCAATACTACTGCCGCTGCCCTACCGCACTCTACAGCAGCGCTTCACAAATTTGAAGCGTAGATTTGAGAGCAGCGTCCAAAGACACATCTAATGGTGCCTCATTATAGAGGCCACTTCAACCTGGGGTCCTTCCTTTATCAGAACAGCAATCATGCAAAAGGTTCAATTGAGTGATGCCGTTAATGCAGACTGCGCTTGTGCAGGGATAACTTTTCCCAGGATCACCAGTCCACTGTACCGATTCGAAAAATTTTACGCCTCAAAAGGGCCCACCATCCTTGAAAGGGTTTCACGAGACCCGATCACACCACTGACTGCTTCGAGAATACATACTTGGTCTGAGAGCTATAGACAAATTCCAAGTCGCCCCTACATTTCCTTAAAAACTGCTGCAGTCGAATGGGAGGGGAGAGGTCTTGGAACCTAAAAGAAAAAAGTAAAGGAAGTAAAGAGACGGCAAATGTTCTTTTTTCGACCACTCCACATATTTTCTTGGGAAATTCACATGAAGAAAAGATTCGACACATCGCGGCCACGTCCGAAAAAATTGGAAAGCGATATCCATCCAGAATCTCAATGCGATCTCCCCGTGTGACTGGTCACGTCGATGGGACTATACAATACCGCTACTAATTTTTGTTCAATCGACGGAATGCGACGCAGTCAGTCCGTCGCAACCGTCGCCTCGCCATAACTCGTGAACAAATGGACCAGGTCATTCGAAATTTATACCACTGGATAGCTCTGCTCACGAAGAATTCAACGGTATAGAGGACTATTGAGTTTCTCTGAATTTTCAGCTTCATTCTCATGAAATTTATCAAATTACCTGAGGCTGACTCATTAGCGGGCGTCGCTCGCTATAATTATAACCAGAGGGGAAAAGGTATTAATGGTAGTATTTAGCGAGTAATAAAGTTATTATTTTACTTCTATGTAAAGTGAAAAAGCGACTGTTGTGTTCTTCAGATAGTGCTCGTCATTTTGGTACCGAATTCATCCCAGGTGGGTCAGCTTTGATAAAAGTCATTTTTGCATGGAAAAGCTCCTTTGGGCCGAAGTATAGCGAAAACTAATAGGATCTGAGCCTTGTCACTTAACTTTCCTTTTCTACAGAGCCAACCCCGTTGACGAGAAGTTTTTGAAGTTCCTACCTAGCACTGGCTGTCAATTTCGAGGTCTTGAATCAGAGAGAAATTCACATTTTTTCATGGAAGAAAATAGTACAAAAAGTATACCATTGTATTCCTCGTTAAAAATGCTTTACATTAATATAAATTACAAATCACAAAATTCTCTGTGGTTTTTTCGAGTTTTATCGCAGCCATCTCTCCTGCACTAAACCATTCTGCCCAATTAGGCGTCTCGCCGAGCTGCTGACCTCCGGATCTCTCTCAATTACCAGAGGGCTTTTGTCGCACCTCAAGATCAACGAGAGAATGGTGTGTTATTTTTCTATGAACAGCAAATGGTCGAACTTAGCTAATCAAGAATAGATCACTGTGTGCCACGCTTCTGTTGGGAGACCTACTAATGAACCTAGTAAAAGTGAGGTAACGGGTTCCGATTACGTGGTACTTGTATAGAAAATGAGTTATGCTTCACTCAATGGGTCTCCCAACAGAAGCGTGGCACACAGTGATCTATTCTTGATTAGCTAAGTTCGACCATTTGCTGTTCATAGAAAAATAACACAGTCTCACCATTCTCTCGTTGATCTTGAGGTGCGACAAAAGCCCTCTGGTAATTGAGAGAGATCCGGAGGTCAGCAGCTCGGCGAGACGCCTAATTGGGCAGAATGGTTTAGTGCAGGAGAGATGGCTGCGATAAAACTCGAAAAAACCACAGAGAATTTTGTGATTTGTAATTTATATTAATGTAAAGCATTTTTAACGAGGAATACAATGGTATACTTTTTGTACTATTTTCTTTCCATGAAAAAATGTGAATTTCTCTCTGATTCAAGACCTCGAAATTGACAGCCAGTGCTAGGTAGGAACTTCAAAAACTTCTCGTCAACGGGGTTGGCTCTGTAGAAAAGGAAAGTTAAGTGACAAGGCTCAGATCCTATTAGTTTTCGCTATACTTCGGCCCAAAGGAGCTTTTCCATGCAAAAATGACTTTTATCAAAGCTGACCCACCTGGGATGAATTCGGTACCAAAATGACGAGCACTATCTGAAGAACACAACAGTCGCTTTTTCACTTTACATAGAAGTAAAATAATAACTTTATTACTCGCTAAATACTACCATTAATACCTTTTCCCCTCTGGTTATAATTATAGCGAGCGACGCCCGCTAATGAGTCAGCCTCAGGTAATTTGATAAATTTCATGAGAATGAAGCTGAAAATTCAGAGAAACTCAATAGTCCTCTATACCGTTGAATTCTTCGTGAACAGAGCTATCCAGTGGTATAAATTTCGAATGACCTGGTCCATTTGTTCACGAGTTATGGCGAGGCGACGGTTGCGACGGACTGACTGCGTCGCATTCCGTCGATTGAACAAAAATTAGCGGTATTGTACCCCTCCTCTTCCCTAACCAAGACCAGAGAGCGCAAAATCAGTGGTAGTGTGATTGCTGAGATGCACTCAGGAGCCGACATTGGCGAGTTCGCATTTTATCTCTCCTCTGAGATTTGATTTTATACCACTTTTTGCCTCAAAAGTCCGTAGCAATCCTGGTCGGTACCAATTATCCGGACCAACGAAGCAAAATGCTCAGAACACTGAGTGCCACTTTTGCGGTGGACTGTCTCATACGTGAAATCAGTATTTTGGGAGAGTAGTAGAATCCATGTCGAACATGTATTGATTTGCTTCCAATAACTATCAGTTGGTTCGTTTCGTTGACTTCACTTTCTTTAGGCCTTTCTGTACTTTAAGGTTCACCTAGACGGCTAACACAACTGGGTTACACACTCAGGTGTAGTGTTGCCATTCTCCTCGACCTGCTGCTTTTTGTTCTATGTTGTTTGTGTGATCATTGCACTACATGTTTTCTATCCTAGTATAAGAGGACCTGCGTCGAGGAGATGGCTGCGGCAACACGACCTCATATCACAGAGTTCTCGACACAGACCACTCCCCACCTTCCGATTACGTTACTAAGATCGTCGAACTTGAAACTCAACTGGAATTCCTCCTTGTCCATCTCCCGGGTTCCTCAAAAATTGCTGCTGATTATGAAGAGAGGGGAGCGGTACGCGTGAATGCTGAGTGGAAGATCGCCTTACTCTCAGAAGGAGAGAGAGAAATAAAGTCTCGTCGTGAAATGCACGACAGTGGTGGCCTCGTCTAGTTGAGGGCGGTGCAAAATTACTGACTATTGTTTATAGAAACGCAGTTCTGATTTGATGGCATTTTGTCTCAGCAATGATAATTCTATTCTATTATATTTTATAAATTTTGAATGCTTGGTACAACAGCCGTTCACGGCCGTGAGGAGTGTTGAGTTTCCAACGATTAGGAGGTTT